CTCAATATAAACAAAGGGAAAAGCAAGACTCTCCGATACAATACAATATGCACCAATCCAATTACACTTGACGGAGAAGCTTTGGAGGATGTGGAAATCTTTACATATCTGGGCAGCATCATTGATGAACACGGTGGATCAGATGCAGATGTGAGGGCGAGGATCGGCAAAGCAAGAGCAGCATACCTACAGCTGAAAAACATCTGGAGCTCAAAACAATTGTCAACCAACACCAAGGTTAGAATTTTCAATACAAATGTGAAGACAGTTCTTCTGTATGGGGCAGAGACGTGGAGAACTACGAAAGCCAGTATCCAGAAGATACAAGTGTTTATTAACAGCTGTCTACGCAAGATACTTCGGATCCGATGGCCAGACACTATCAGCAACAAGTTACTGTGGGAGAGAACAAACCAGATTCCATCCAGTGGAGGAAGAAATCAGGAAGAAGCGCTGGAAGTGGATTGGGCACACTTTGAGGAAATCACCCAATTGTGTCACAAGACAAGCCCTCACATGGAATCCTGAAGGTCGAAGGAGAAGAGGAAGACCAAAGAACACATTACGCCGAGAAATAGAGACAGACATGAGAAGAATGAACAAGAACTGGAAAGAACTAGAAAAGAAGGCCCAGGACAGGGTGGGTTGGAGAAAGCTGGTCGGCGGCCTATGCTCCATTGGGAGTAACAGGCGAAAGTAAGTAAAGTAAGTTACCGAATAGTTATACAGTAAGAATGATAGTCCAATAGTAGGTCCTGCAAGTTACCCGTACTTATGTCTTCGCTAGTACATAACAATTCGAACACATAAATATTGGTACAAGGAGCACCGAATACATATGCGCCACACAAGTCACTTGATTTGTGTGTGGGTTGTGATACTGCCCCTGCGCCCAGACCGAAGCAGGTGGTTTTTTAGGAGGCCACACCCAGAGCCTTCAACCTAAAAGTCTGGCCTACAAGGCTGTAGAGTAACGTTGGAAGATGCAGTACCATGGTAGCCGGTGACCAACGATTGGTTCATATGCCATTTTTTCCTGTAGGACTCTGGAGCCCATGTGCACCATTGGTTTGGAATCAGAGTTTTCCAACTCCCCCATGTGGATCCTCCATGTCCACCAACCCTGTTAAAGCGCCAGACATTCGCTTTTCGTCCTCTCAATTTCGTAAACAACGGTAATGCCACGAGAAGGCAGTGAGTAGAACTTCCCTAGTATTAGTAGAATATGCGTGGCCATGTGGGAATATATCGAGAGAGTGAACTGACTTTCCCCACCCTCTGCCGTGCCAGGGCATTCGGGGGCCAAATTGTTGTTATTGGATGTTAGTTCATTCTTAAAAGGATAATCTCAATAAAATGTTCCTAATATTTTTCCCCAATGGTCTTTAATGTTACCTGACTGGTTGCCGTCATTCTTATTTTGCTAGTGTTGTTGCACCCCAACGTCACTAGGAGTCACTATATAAACCAAGTTATTCTATCTCAATTTTGGACTTCTATTTGAAATATTGAGCAACTATCTTTCCTTTCTGTCTATTTGCTATCAACCTATGAGTTATTAGCACCAGAATGTTTGTCGTTTGTCAGTTACCTTTATATCGAGTCTGCCATAAAACCTATTTGTATCAAAATAATCTTGATTGTTCGTTTTTAGTAATTACTGTGAATCCCCAACTGGAAACCCAATTAGTAATCGTTTTTCTAAAAGTTGACACATTTTCACATGTTTTTTTTAGAATAATCCTTATAAAATCCAAACAGACAAAATTAAAACACGAAGTACAGTATATAACTTACCACTTCATACATGTCGATGATACGTTCATTATCTGTGATGATATGGATGACACTTCTCAGTTGCTTAGTCACTTCAACAACTATCATCCAAACATAATGTTCACAATGGAATGTGAAAGAGATAGCCGATTCGCTTTTTTTAGAACATAGTGTAAGGCGGAAAAACTATGGGACTCTTGAGAAAAGTATGTATATGGAAAAATGTGGACGGGTGATATTTAAACAACAATAGCTTTTACCCTACTAGTTACAAAAGATTTCTTGTCAAAATACTCTCCAATAGAGCTAGAATGTTATGTTTAAACAATGAATTGAATGAAGAATTGGCCATGCTAGAAAAGCACTTAATTAAAACAGATTTCCAAGGAAATTTATTGCAAAATATAGACAAGAACATTGTGAAGATGATAAACAACCAACCGTTTAAGAAAACCTGTCTTCATCTTTCTTCCGTTCAAGGGAAACGAGATTTCAGGAACAATCGATGTGAGTTTCAAGGTGGCACTGAAAAGAATTTTTCCTACCGCTCAATTAGCTTCACTATACAACACCAAGTGTTCGTTATACCATTCAAAGTAGATCAATACCCTCCTGGCGTCATCTCTAATTGCATCTATGACTTTGCAAGTACCTGCGATAGCAAGTAAATTGAAAGGCCAGAGAGAAGGGCCTCTAAAAGGTTTTCTGAACACATTCTTAGGAAACTATGTCTAAAAGTGAGTAAAGGGTTTGCAGGCCAACAATCGTAGTGTTTCTTGATATCAGGGCGGCCTTCGATTCGTTGGACAGTACTGTTCTCTGGGATTGTCTATTGAAGAAGGGTGTGCCTGAGAAGTTCATTAACATCTTAAAGGCCCTGTATACGAACACCTCAGGCAGAGTGAGGGCATACAACCACCTTTCTCCCTTGTTCCATTCGAGCAGTGGGGTTAGGCAGGGTTGCCCGATCTCACCATTCCTCTTCAACTTTGCTATCGACGACATCCTGGAAACAGCTCTGATGGATGTAAGTAATGGCGGTGTGGATATGTTGCCTGGAGAACGACTTCTCGACCTTGAGTATGCGGATGATATTGTCTTACTGTGCGATAATGCCCAAGGCATGCAATCAGCACTTAATCAGTTGGCAATCAGTGTCCGCAGGTACGGTATGTGCTTTGCACCCTCCAAGTGCAAAGTACTCCTACAAGACTGGCAGAATTCTCATCCTGTACTCACCCTGGATGGTGAGGAGATCGAAGTAGTTGAGAAGTTCGTGTATCTAGGTAGCTATATAAGTGCTGGTGGTGGCGTGAGTGATGAGATTGATGCACGTATAATGAAAGCCAGATCGGCTTATGCCAATCTGGGCCATCTTTGGCGCCTTCGTGATGTTAGTCTGGCTGTAAAAGGTCGGATCTACAACGCGTCGGTGAGAGCAGTTTTGCTCTATGCTTGTGAAACCTGGCCTCTCCGAGTTGAGGATGTTAGACGACTCTCTGTGTTCGATCATCGTTGTCTCCGAAGGATTGCTGACATCCAGTGGCAACACCATGTTAGTAATGCAGAGGTTCGGCATCGTGTGTTCGGGCGCAGAGACGATAATTCAATTGGTGTCACCATCTTGAAACACCGACTTCGGTGGCTTGGACATGTTTTACGAATGTCGTCCCAGAGACTTCCACGTCGTGCATTATTTGCCGACCCTGGGACTGGTTGGAGAAAGCGGAGAGGAGGTCAGTGTATGACATGGTGTCGTGGCATGAAAGAGAGCTGCAAAGGGCTAGCTTCTGTTGGTCCTTCACGACTCCCTGGCTGGGGTCCGAGAGATGGTGCAACACAGTGGCTAGAGACGTTATCGGATATGGCTCAGAATAGAAGCCAGTGGCGATCCTGCTGCAACCATCTTTTGCTTTCTACATAAAGTATGGTTCTATCTTTCTTAACTGAAAGAGTCTTCTGGTTGTACATTTCAGTCCGCCTTATCTTTTCATCCCTTCTCTTCCTACTTTCATTATTTTGTGTGGCGCATATGTACCTGGTGCCCTTTTGTACCAATATATATGTGTTTAAATAATAATAAAATAAAGGGTATGCAAGTGCAATTCCCTGAGACCTTTTGGATAGTAGATATAAAGCGAATTCAAATAATCCAAAGTAACTAGCAGATAAAAAACGTCAATCTTACTGCGTTTTGCAGAGGCAATCTCTATGATACATTTCCGAGCCAACCTATATATACAGAAGGAAAGCGTGACGATGATTGAATGTCTATCAAAATAACCCTCATCAATTTTTAAGCTCTTTTTTCGTCTTCTGATATTTATCTCTTGCATAATCTTATGGATGGCCAGATATTTATCTTATCATTTTCAGCGATTATCCAATCACTTATTAATTTCACTATCTTTTGCATAATCTCTTTTATCCTGATTACAATTACTTGTAATTATAACACTTGTTCTACTCTGTATTGCTATATCAAGTAGAATAATGAATTGATTTTATCTTGCATGCCCTTGTTTTTCCTTCTCTGACCCTTAAAGCTCAATTTATTGTTATCATTTTCAGTGTAATTCGTTTTGGGCACCCAGGCAATATCCAAGCCCTCACACTAATCGAATCATATACGTGGTGCATGTCTATTTGGTGCCCCCTTGTACCAATGTTTATGTGTTTAAATAAATAAATTCGTTGTATGCTTCACGTGCATTCAAATACTATTCTTTTCTAAAATACTGTAGTGTCTAGTACCATGTCAAGCCCACACGGGTTATTCCAGCTTCCGGATGGACCAATTTATTCATTCTTCTTGAGTCACATTTTGACCTTTTGAATTATTCGCTTATCAACGTTGACTGTTTTTATATGAGTATATGTGTTTGCATTGCTTACCCTGCCCATCACATGTCTGTAGCTTATTTTTGTCTGACTATAAATACCGAGTTACACCCAATCAAATCGAGTTGATTCACTCACCTTCGCTTCGCTCTCCCTCTTCTTATTCTGAATATCAGCGTGGATAAACGAGTGTTTGAAATGAATTCATCCAGCGCAACTTGTATTTGATTTCTTACTACCGCCGTCGCACAAACGGGGTTAACTTAGGTAACATACTGAGTTAAATGGAAGATTTACGTTCATAGCATCTTCGTATGATCAAAGCACAGTCAGATGCCAGGTCACAAAAGTATAATTCTTTTCTTTTTTTTCCTGATAATTAGAATCTTTATGTTGTCAACATCGACCTCATTTCAATTTCACTAATAATTCTAATGAAAATGATAGTCAATCCGAATCGATAAAACCTAGTGCTGATGAAAGTAAAGATGATCCCGCAGAAGAATCAGACTCATCAACATCTTCATACAGTTGTCCATTTGCTCAATCTGTTACTGATGTAAATCACAGTTGTGATTGGAACAGTGAAGCTCTTAGTATGCGTAATTATGATTCAGAAATAATTGAGTAAGTTTCATGTTTGTCAGTAAACTGCAAAGTTCAGTTTGTTTATTATGTTTGTGTTCTCTTTTTCAGTAGATTATAACCGTACAGCCTCCGTATAGAAAATATAGTGTATATTCTTTCTACTTTATGAAAAACTTTCTGTTTTCCTGCAAAATGTATATTAGTCAATAAGTTACTCATAATCAGCATATTCTAGTTAGCGTTTTTTAGCTATGTTATTTTCTATGGGGTGGGGTCACTGACCCCATGCCAAACCCTCCCCCTTTACCCGGGTTAGGATCAGCAGTAATCCTAAGAAAGTTACTGGAGGGGTTATAATTAACGTATAACTTGGTATAAATGTGTGACACGACGAGTTATACATTGCGTAAAACCTGGTACATATTTTTATCGGTTCAAGTTACTTTACCCCATCAGCACAGCTCGATGAAACTGTGAAGATGATTCACACAGTAGTCAGTCAGCCAGCTACAACGTAGGACCAGGCACATATATGCATCGGCCGAAGGTGCCACACCTCATTAGCACAAGATGAACACCAAATCCATAGAATTAGTCACTTAAATGGTAGTAATGTATAAAAGAAAGATTATGTATAAGGATATGGTACAGAAAGAAAAAACTAGTTGGTAGGAAGAAAGATATAGATCAATAATAACAATTTCGAAACTCAAAATCCAAAATAAAATTAATAGTGAATGCGCCTACGCCATTCCAACAGATTTTAATCCAACCATTAATTACAACAATCACCTGGACCCTAATCATCAGGTGATCTGAACCTATCAGCTACACATCAATACAGTAAGATAAAATCGACCAGATAAATAACAGGAGTGGAAGTAGTAGTATGTGATGAAATATCAATAATAGTTGATTACATAACTTAAAAATGAATTCACCCTATAAATCCTGGTCAAATGTAAATCATTCCTTGAATGAGTTTCTTCTATCCAACTAAAGTGAGAGAGAAAAAAGTCAACTACTATACTAACAGTGTTACATGGTTGATGTAATAAGTTAACAGTAACTAATGTTATTTCATCGTGCAACACTAATTTCTATGACTTGTACAGTGTTCCCTATATAAAAACAACCAGTATATTGACCAGTTTATGATTAAATTTATACATCATCTATTTTTCATATAAAAATCACAGCTAAGATAATTAATTATATATTCGTTTTCAGGTTTATTAGTAAGAAGTAAACAATCTAGTCATTTCTTCTGGCTCATACTGATATGTGTCATGAAGGCATGGTCATATTCCCTTCCAGACTCAAATGTATCTCATTCATTTCCACCTCTAGAAATATTACCATTAAACAAATGATTTTATTTGGAATTGAATTGTTTTAATGAATTCATTACTAGTAAAAATGAGCTTCCCAAACATTCTAAATATAAAATGTTAATATTTAACGGTTAGAAACCCTAGAACTTTCTATTGCCTAACTCCTAATATTTCATATTGATAAAATATTAGTCATGTATATATCGAGAATCCAGCCACATTTGTCTATACAACTTTTCAGAAAATTAATTCTGGTATTCGCTATAGAAAGCTTGACAGGAAATTTTGAGAAACCCACTGAGTTTCTTTAGTGTCACTAGATCCTTGCAACCTTTTTTATTCAGTGACACAATGGGTTATTTTAATTATCCGAAAAGTTCCAAGGATTCAATGACAGTAAAGGAACTCAGTGGGTTTCTCACTATTTTCTGAAAAGTTCTATAGACAAACGTGGCTGAATTCTCTTTATTTTGATTTAGTGACACAGTGGGTTATTTTGATTATCATATGTATATCTTAATGAAATAATATTCTAACTGGTTCTTGTTTGTTTTTGTCTTATTTTGTTTCGTGTATTATTTACGTAATACCGTGTTTTATAAAATTTTAGTTTACGATCTCAACTTCAATTACCTGTTACCAGAGAAGTGGATGATAGTTGTATAGAAATCGTTTTACCTCCAACTTTCACTAGTTCAATACTTACTAATACTCAATTAAATGAATCAAATGTATTATCTACATCCAATGTAATTAATTCACATCCTGTTGATGATAATATTCATAAAAATTGTCAAGAAAATCAACTTCCTATGGATCAAACGAATCAATACAATGATAACCAAATTAACAGCACTACTATTGCCTCTCCTGTCATTGCTTCTGTACGTGTTAAATCCTCATCAACAAATTCACCTTCATCAAATTGGAGGCCATTATTATTATTCGTTCCTCTTCGACTTGGATTACATAATCCTAATCCATGTTACTTCAATGCAATCAAAGTATGAGAAATAGAATCTTCTTTTTGTATTTTCACTAATTCAATATTATATACTCTTCAACATATTTTGTCGACACTATTGGGATAATTGTTTTGATTTACTAATAAATGGAATTTAAAGCAATCAAGTACAATCAACATATTTATGAACGACACTATGAGTTTAACACACAAATACAAACATCCTTCTTAAGGACCAATAGTACCTTTTATTCTAGACAAACTAAAATTGGTGAAACCAGATTCCAATTAAGGTTAAGTATCAGCTGTCAATAGATAACTGTCCATCTTCAATCGGGTTCAGTTCACCTAGTCTCACTATTTGATCATCCAGGTTCATAAAAAGGTTGCATTTAGATAACTACAGATAGTAATCAACTTTAATACATAGTCACTAAAATCCTTTAGTCTATAGTCCATAGTTGAGCGTGTAGACCACTTCACTTATCTTGGGAGTCTCATCAGCCCTTGTGGTCTGGTATGTGACGAAATCTCAGCACGGATACAGAAGGTTCGTCTAGCTTTCGCCAACTTGCGTCATTTATGGCGTAGGCGAGATATCCGTCTAGCAACCAAAGGACGGGTTTACTGTGCAGCAGTTCGCTCCGTTCTACTTTATGGCAGTGAAACATGGCCAATAAGAGTGGAGGATATTCGTAGGCTACTAGTGTTCGATCAAAGGTGTCTTCGAAGCATTGCTCGTATATCCTGGGCCCACCGGGTAAATAATGCAGTTGTTAGGAAACGAGTACTAAGTAGGGATGGCAAATCGATTGATGAAGTAGTGAAACTTCATCAGTTGAGATGGCTGGGACATGTGTTACGTATGCCCAACCACCGACTGCCCCGACGTGCAATGTTTCATGGTGTAGGAGTAGGTTGGAAGAAAGCTAGGGGTGGCCAGACCAAAACGTGGCACAAATCAATGAAGTCACTGACAAGTGGACTGGGCCATGTTGGTAGGTGTAGACTACCTGGTTGGGATTCGCGAGATGACAGCAACCGATAGTTAGAGACCTTGAATGACATGGCTCAAAATCGTTTGCAATGGCGAAGGTGCATCCACTCTTTGTGTTCTACCAAATTCTAATCTTCTGAATTCCTCATGTCTTTATCTTTTTCTCTTTCCAAATTTATTTCACTGTACTATACTCCTTCAATAATTTCTTCAAACCCTAATCTTTTGGATTTCTGATTATACTCGTACTACTTCTACCACTATGGGATTTGAATGGACAACTTCATCTCTGTGCTAATGTGGTATGGCAACTCGAACTGATGTACGTACGTACGAAGTTCTACGTTGTGACTGACTGAGTCATTTAAACCCAAACTGAAACTGTTATAGCATACTCGAGAAAACTAAATATAATTGTCAGTTCACCACCGCAAACATACCTATGGATGGATAAAAAAATTTATAATTAACATAAATGTATTCTGTCACATTTTCTAGACTATTATGCGAATTTACAATTTTATTATCCTGTATATTTCTTTTTATGATCTGATACTCATCAAATAATTTAATTAAAGTTGTCATTATGAAATAACTTATCAAGTTCTTCCAACCCTACGAATCGTTAAAATCAGCTATATTGAAATAATCGAGCGCCTTCCCTGTTTACTATAGACAGAACTGCTCAAGTATTATTTTGATACAATGGTTCACTCAGAAATCGCCAAACGTATAAACTCATTTGATTGGCCAGTGGATGGCTTTATTTTGCAAGGGACAAGATGTAAACTACTAAAAGGCTTAATTGTCTGATATATATATATATATATATATATCTTTATTCGGTTAGCCAAATAAACTTCCTCACTCTTCATTCTCTCTCGTGTATGTGCAGGTTTGAGTATGGGAAGATTGCGTAACGGTATCGGATCTCGGAGACGGCGCGTTATAACATATTACACTTTTATTCATGATGTTTGAAGGTTTACCTGATATAAAGAAGAGCCGATAATATCAGCTTTTAGTTGTGTGATGTTAAACACTTTCTTTGTATGAGATGTACACAGGGTTAAGTTTACAAATAGGTATTTATCTTATATATAAAAGTATGATTTTCCTATTGTTTATTGACATTTATCACCTACCGTTTATATATTGAAATTAAACTGTTTCACATTGACTGTTTATTCATTCAAGCATACCAAGGTTGTCATCTTTACTCTTGCGTAACAATTTTCTTTTTTTCTAGGCTGTATTTCGTTTGCCACATTGTGTCGGAATATTAGGCGGTTCACCATGTCATGCTGTCTGGATTGTAGGTGTTACTGATGATGATGTAATCTGTTTAGATCCACATACTACTCAACCCGCTGGTCGCGGTAATTTAAAACCAGATTATGATCAAACATATCATTGTGATAATCCTATACGTATCCCGCTTAAACGATTAGATCCAAGCATGGTATTAGGTTTCTTATGCTCAACTGAAAAAGAATTTGATGATTTATGTCATAATTTAAAGGAAGAAGTTCTGCATCCTTCAGTAGCCGATTCATGGCCTCTAGTAGAAATTCATACAACAAGACCGTCTAACCTACCACCACTTCCTTCATCTAATATTCCAAATGATCTATTAATTTCTGTATATCCTTCAGACCAGGATAATCTTGGTCATGGTGTTAATGAGAATGCAGATAATTCAATTCACACTACTAATAGTAAAGATGATGTAGAACATGAAGGTAAATTAAGCGAAGCAATGGGTGCAGTAAAAGCTCTATGGTCTAAATGTAATCAAGTAGCTGGTGATACCGTTCGTACTTTAGCAAATGTACCACAACGATTTGTAAAAGGTATGTTGCTTTGATAAATACTTCTTATCATTTAAAATAAAAATATTCAACACCTAAAGGTTTATTCAATTAATCAGTCTTGTTACATTTATGCGTTGAAGTTGTCATCATATTTATAGATTAGTGGATGGTACAAACTAGAGACGGATCGCCTTATATTTCTAATCATTAATTTTTGACTCAAATTATTGTTTTCTGTTTTGTCACTCTTAATATTTCTATCCGACTCAACATAGTATTGATTGTGGTCAATAACTAATTAAACACTACATCAAGATAGAGCAGCTCGGTTCTCCTAAATACTTATTATACTACTTAGAAATAATGTATACATGTGTATGCTGGGCTACTTAGTATATATATATATATATATATATATATATATATATATATATATATATATATCATAGTATCACTCAGCTTTCAGTGATAAATCTAGGTCATTCACATAGTCTACGTTCCTAATTACGTTCACTCAGTTCGGTACTAATAATTATCATATATAATTAATTATCATATAATAATTATCTGTAAGGACGGCCCGTCGGTAGACTCTCGGAAGCCCTAAGAAGCCCAGGAAGAGCCGCAGACATTCCATCCAATCACGGCTAGGGGAATGTTCTAGACATGCCAACGTGGAGCTTCTCCATTGGATGGATTAGTTTGATACCTATGTGCTTATTGGTTGACCTAAATTATAATTTATTTTCAGCCAATAACTATAAATACACGAGATTTCTGTGCTATATTTTGACACTGTTCGGGGCAATAAACTTCCTGCTTACCAGTCTTTGTCTTCTCTCTTTTTGCGACGTTGCGGGTTCTATCGTTCAAGTAGTCAAGTAGTTCGCGGCATATTAAGAATCAAGGTTCTAGATATAACATTATCATTATATATCAATCATCACTACGTTTCACTGAAGTCTGTTTGTTAACAGTTGCACGTAGACTGTAAATATTTTCTCACACAATACTACGTATCATTTGAAACAGATATTGTTATTATCTCGTACAAGCGAATCTAATAACGGTTTTTTACTTATCGAGAAAAATATATAATGTTTATGTTGACAATATGAGACTTGTATCTAACTGATGTCGTTATTGTTGTCATTGTTTTGTATTGTTGTTTATTGGATGAATGTGTTTTGACTGGTATTTTGTTGAATACAATCTGAGATTTTTTCAGTGTTCGGTCGTGCGTTTGTCAGTCAAGGTTCATTTAACCTATATTCGCTGTTAGACAGCATTCCGTATCGTTTCATGTTATCACCTCTCACTTTATGTTTGTATAATGAAACGTATATTTCATTTTGAGTCACACATTGTTCATATTGTGGATTAGTGATGCTCGAACTAGCTGTCAAAATCTAAAGGTGCAGCGACCTACTGGTTGAATAGAGAGTGCTTTAATCAATAAATCATCGTTTTATGTTTAAGTTTTCAACCCCTATACCATAAATAAAATATTTTCGGATCAGTTTATTAACGCTAGTGAGTGACTATTTCATGTGCATAAACACTATAGTATCTCCCTGTTAGTGTTATAAACACTATCCTTTGGATTCAAATAGTTCTGTGTAGGTGTTAATAAAACCTTACTGTGGTTGTAAACATTCGTCTAGGAGAGACAAAGGTGGTGGTTGGAGGTGGTCTACAGGATGTTCTGAACCTAGGCTTCGCGCTAACTGGAACTCGTCAGCAAGGTATACCTGTAATGTGATCTCGAGGTAGTTGATACTTCCTGGCGGATTCCTGTCGACTTCTTCCAACTGCCACCTTACATCTTAACATAGTTCACTTAATTTCGAGCCACTTAATGCAACTTGACCGATAGAATCCGACCAACACTAAGATGGTATTGACATACATGACATTGACCACTACTCAGTAACAAATACATTTTAAACAGGATCCTGGCACTTCTAGTCGACATTAGATATCAAGTTGATCAATCATTGTTAGAATATATAAACCCTGCCTCCATATAACTATTTTATCACAAGTTTTATATAGTAGAATAATTCTTACTATCACCAGAATCGTGGGCGCTTGTTCCATTGTATTTAGGACTCGTCAGCTGGATATATACTTGCATCCAGGTGCTGATGTTTATACTGAGACTCGAACTCAGTACCCTTCACTTCAAATACCAACATATCCGAACGTCTTGTTACATAGGTTTCTAGATTTTTTTAAAATTTTAAATCGTACATCACATAACTGAACTGTACCTTCTTTTCTCTTCCTCTTCGTTAACAGGTCCTGAATATGAAGTTAGTTAATTAAAATGATCGACCTCAATGTGTTGTTATATATTATGAATAATTAATTATTATCTAATGTAGTTCTACTGGTTATTTATTTATTTATTTGTTTGTTTTAAATATCGAGTTTACACAGCCAGAATTGATTAACAAGATGTGAAAGACGAAAACAATTATTAAAGATTTATCTGTTCTATAAAGTGTTTTCCTTTTGCACACGTACACACACACAGATACAAAGAGATTGAATGATGGCAGTTAATGTCGATACCAGAGACTACAATTATTATTTATATTACTATTGTTTTTCCTTGTTGTCGCCATTGTTTTGTTTTGTGTTTCTCCTGTTGGATTCCAAATTTCACTTTATATCTTTTGTTAATTATTGACTTAGTTTATATTTTTTAAGAGAAAAATTGAACATTTATCAACTGTGATTGTATGGTGTTGATAGTTTGTTAATCGACTGTAATGTTTACTTATCTTGGTAATAACAATAATTGATATTATTATTATTATTATTATTATTATTATTATTATTATTATTATTATTATTATTATTATTATTATTATTATTACTGATATCTACTGTTGTTATGATTAACAGCAGTACTAGTAAGATACAACAATAACAACAACGGTATTCTATGAATTCAACTGTAAATATCTTTCTTTTCGTTTCTATGATGATTCTTCCCTATAAAACTAATGTCATTTAGGTGTGTGTTTATATCTGTCTTTATTTATCAGGATGAATAGTTTCCGTGTTTGAATGATTAAAATTGTTTTTCATAACAAATAGTACTGTCTCTTTTCCAGTCTATTCATACAAGTGCACACAGATACACATAGACAAAGTCCATGCACTCCTTGTTTCATAAATTATCCTCAATAATAATAATAATCAGTGTGATAAATAAGATTTCTATGACAAATACTACTATTATTATTTCATATACTACTGATAATTATCATAATTATAATTGTTCCACTTCTATACAGGTGATAAATTTCAATTAAATCAGGTATTATTGTCCATTGACGAATTTCTCTGTTATGTCTCTTTATTTATTTGAACTATAGAATGATTATCAATTAATGATGATTTGATTGTTTCAATAATAAAATGGTATATTGCAAATATGAAAACTTTTGAACAATTATTCACAATCGATAAGATTTCATTGAAATTATGAACCGATCTAATTTGGACTACCATTAGAGGTCTAGAAACTCTGAACAACATTTGGGTGCGAGACGAAAGGTTGTGGGTTTGTTTTTTGAGTGTAGAATCATGGATGTGACGTTTCTGAGAAATTCCATACTAGGATGTGATGGTCGTCCATTATTTCCAGATTTTCAATTGTTGTTTTACTTAGATTGGTTTATGATTTCGATGAAATTCAACAACCTCTACAACCCCTTACTGATAATCTATAAGATGTGTAGTGTATATTTATATTTTTTAAATGCATTGGTTTATAGGGAGAGGTCAGCATATATATTTTCCAATGGTAAAAATTATCAGGAAATACAACAGTATAAGAACTCGATAAACAGGCAACCTTGTACTTCTGTTGAACAAACAAGCTTTGAATAGATCGGCGCTTTAGTATTTACTGTACGGCCATAACTCTCATTATTTTGTCATTTTCGATTTCCAGCATTTGTAAAGCTTATTTAGCTCATATCAAAAGCCACCCTACGTTTAGAGTAGTATGTCTTATATTTAGATAGGTATTTGTTTGGCTAATGCATAACACCTGCTAGTCAATAGTATGATGACACATTTATAGTTTCAACCTGCGAATATTTTTAATCTAAACTTTTCTCAATAGATAGTTCTGTAACAGACCAGTAGTAGTTTTAATATACTTATTTCTCCAGAATGTTCCGTTCTCATTTTCGACACCTGCATTGAATATATCAATTGTAGGCCAACACTATTTCAACAATAGACCAAATACTTTACTGGGCTAAACTAGAGAGTTGGTTAGTGCTTTAGTAACTCATGTCCATTTTTGACTGGAAAATTAATTTTCTCTTTTAATTACCGATCATTCAAACTTTACAGCTGCTTACTAAATCTCTTTACGCGCACACTTACAGGAACATGAAGAAGGATTTCTGTCGATTGTTAGGTTGATTTTAATGACCACTGAAATTTAAAATGTCTAATGAATTAGTGTTGTCTTGAAATAAATGATTATATAACTAGACACAGAAAAGGACCATACGCTTCTCCATGGAGTTTTGAAGGTAGACTCGTAAGTAAATTCACTTACGTGATTTTTCGGAGGTAAGATTGATACCTGTTGGTAAGGCATATTCTTGACTTATATTAAACCTCACGTAAATTCGTGACTGAGAACTACGAATATCGTCGTATTTTATTGTTCTTTTAAATCTTATGTTATACCTATAGAGAACGAGATTCTCAGTAAATAATTACGCTTAGAACTTATAAACATATCCGAGGAGCACAGCATCTTAAGATATCAATTGTATAGCTCCATTCGATTTGAATTACCCTTCAAACGTTGAAGCTCTAACATGGGGTTAACAGTCATTTTGCTACACTATGGATGGTATTTTGTAGGTTCAAGTTATAGGTTGTGAGAACTGCGATTGACTTCATGAAAATAGGGGACAGATGAAGGGAAATTTTGATGTACACGAGAAATATGTTTGGATGTGAGTAAACTGATGTTACTTCCCTACGCCTCACTATACAGAAGTACCTAAATTAGGTGTATTAACATTGTGTAACCTCAGCTCAAAAATGACCCACTTGAGAGATGCCATACGTCGGTCTTTGATGCTAAAAATGTATAGAGGAATTAATTCGTTCTCCCGAAAGTTCCTTATCGTCTGTAATGGGAAGCCTATGGCAAAATGGAATGTATAGTTTTCATGGGGAAATATGTCTAACTCCTCATTTTACTGGAATAACACCTAAAATCTTTATAAACAGAAAAATGACTTATCATATTCCAATGGTAGACCCTGTTAAGTATCTTCTTAAATAACGATCATATATCCGTTCATGTAAATTAGGCTGAATGATTAAAAGATATGTTGATACGAAGGTAAGATGATCTTATTTCTTAGTTTCGAGTTAGGCATATCATCATTTCTTATCCTTTACTTTGTCACTTTCCATTTTCGTCAACAACTAACAATTCGAGAAGTATATCTAGGAGCTCTAGTGAGAAGCAGTGACAAGTGGAGTTCGAAACCACGTCTGTTGTGAGATAGGAACTCACTGAAGACAGTTGGTGAATGGTTGCTCAACTTCGTGGATCAGTTGAAGTTAGACATTAACACCGTTGGATGCCAGCTCAGTGATTTATCGGTTAAGGGCTTCGGCTCGAGACTGGTAGGTCCTGGGTTCGAATCTCGCGAGAGCGGGTTCGTGGATGCGCACTGCTGAGGAGTCTCATAATAGGACGAAACGGCCGTCCAGTGTTTCCAAGTTTTCCGTGGTGGTCTAGCTTCAATTGACTCACGCCTTCAACTATGATAAAAAACTGATCTGTTTATTTTTTTTCTTCCTCCCATGTGTTCTAATGAATATACAGGATATGGATAACTACACAATACTAAATTTTTTTTCTATAAAATATCCAACATATAATTTGCCATCCTTTCAATATACATTTTAAAAGTAATTAGGTCTAATTTCATGATACCTGATAAGCGATTCTTAGATAATAGAATGAGAAGATAGAGTTTAGCATCTCTATGTGATACATATATTAACACAGTTCATTTCGATCAGTCCTATTTATTTATTTATTAAAACATAAATATTGGTACAAAGGGGCACCAGATACATATGCGCCACACAAATCTCAGTTGATTTGTGTGAGGGTTGTAATACTGCCCGAGCGCTCAAACCGGAGCAGGTGGTTTTCTGAGGGGGCCACACCCGGAGTCTTTGACATAAAGTTCTGATCCACAAGGCAGTAGAGCGTCGCAAGAAAGTACAGTCACATGACAGCCGGTGACCAACGATTGATTCATACGCCATTTGTTCCCTCAGGATACTGGAGTCCATGTACATCATTGGTTTGGGATCAGGGTTATTCAACTCTCCTCGGTGAACTTTCCTTATCCACCAACCCGGTTAAAACACCGGACATCCGCTTTTCGTCTTCTCAATTTCATAAACAACGGTAATGCCACGAGAAGGTAGTGAGTAAGACTTCCCTGGCAGAGGCTATATACTCGTGGCCATGTGAGAGCATTTCGAGAGGGAGAGCGGACTCTCCCCACTCATATGCCAAGTGACTAATTGAAATATAAATATAAACACAGATAATGAGGTAAAATCATCTGAATTACATCCCTCCAGATATAAAAATCAAATCGATATTTAATGAATGTCATATTCACTAGGACTAACCATATTAACATAAATGATACTACTGAAGACAAGATTAGGCTTCCAAATGAAAAGAAAACTGATAAAAGATGGATAATAAAAACCGTAAACGGATTGAAAAAATATAGTATATTAAGAATTATAATTCTTTTAGAATCTAAAAAGTATATCTACATCACCACCTTACCATTCATTGGTTAATTAAATAACCATATGTTGAAAGGAAGGCTAAATCGACTATTGATAGGACGTACCATGCAACCATGGTCACTATCATTGAAAAACAATGTTCATACTTTACTGAAAAATCTAAACAGCGGGTAGACAATTGCGTCAATTTTCAGTGCCTTTATCAACTTATATGTTTTTACAACCACATATATATAGTGAAAACAAATACAATCCAATGGCCGATTAAAAACAAATGATAAGCATCCACCTTTCTCCACTGAAAATGTAGTTGAGACAGGTCATAAGATTAGTCTTATTCCAGTCATTGTGGTTTTGCAGATAAGTGATCTAAGGTGAATATCTGGATTTGTTAAATACCTATCCTTACGAAAACTCAATTCCATCTTTTTGTTACTAAAGAGATCTATACTTGCATTAAACCTACTGAGATAATTTTAATTGGTTTTGCTATTTAGAGTGGTATGACACATGTGTTTTCATTATTACCTCTGCTCTTCCTTATTTTTTAATTTTTGTTTTATATGAACTTCAATGCTCCAATAAATATCCTAACAAGCAATCAAGATTGTTCGAAATGCAGGATGGGAATTTTGTCAGATGGGTATATATCACGGTGTTGATGTCCACATCGGGAATAGAACCCAGTGAATTTCAGTCCGAACGCGCAACTAGTCTTCTACTTAATAACCACTGTCTTATGAAACGAGATGAACTGAAAGTGTGTGTAACATCCTAGTGATAACACGAATGTTACTAGTTAGTCACTTTTGCTATTTTTGCATCCTTAGCAGACTGCCTCGATATTGTCTGATATCTACAGGTAATTTTAGTAAAATCAGATAGAGGCCAGCATTGAAATCCAAGTCCGAGTTCTAGTCCCAATATGAACAGGAACACATATAGGTACACCCAACTGATGACTCTTAAATAGGACCAATTGCTCACCCTGGATCCCATTGGTAACTTCACTAAAATGTCGAAGAGATCTTCTCAAGATATACAAATATTAAACGTGACTAATCAATTACAATCCTTAACAACATAAATAAACGCCTACAAATTATTTAAAAAAAAAACATCCGTTTTAATCGCTACTGTCAATTACATCTTCATCACAACTATCTATTACACCAAACGCTGAACAAATTTCAAAACAAAGCTACACAGATCACACATTTTAATAGTCATAACAAGAATATGAATAATAATAATAATAGTAATAATAATAATAAATTATAATTAAAAACACTGAGTAACTTTTCTTAACGTATTGATTTGTTTATTTGATTTAATTTGAGGCACATGATGAAACTATTATGACCATTATCCAATTAATTCTTCATTCAGATCTTTGTTTCTACACTGATGGTTCAACGTTTTCAAAATCAACATCCGTTGATATTACTAGTCATAATTATTGTTGTAGTGATGGTAATAATGGTAATAACATTATTTGTCGTGTTAGTGTATGTATATATGTAGATATGATAATAGAAGAATCAATATGAATTGTCAAAAAAGAATAATCATAACAAACAAAATAATAATGGTAATAATGATAATAACCACAACGATAATAATAAAATGGAATCCCTCCTCACATACAAACAAATGTATGGAACATTAATTCATTTATTGATTAGTGGAAGGGTATGCTTTTTTGTCTGTCAATATGATCTTGTCAATGTTTAGAAGTCTACACATATTTGGGAAAAAGAAATTAGAAAGATAGATAGAATCAGGTGTGTGTTTTATTTCATCAAGACAATTTAACAAAAGAGGATAACATGTTTCTAGGTGTGTTTTTTTCGTCTGTGTTTATTATTTTCACCTTGAAAAAAAAAAAGAAAAAAACGGTATATTTCTTGGCTTACATCTAACTAGTATCAAGGTACTTCATACATTTTACACCCCTTTCTGATATGAATTACACAACAATAATAAAGAAAAACACATCAGACTGAATGATCACACTAAAACAACAAAAGTGAATGAAAGAAAAAAAATCATTTTGTTTGCGTTTTTTTTTGTTTCTTCTTATATATGAGAAGACAATTCAAATTTGTTTACATCATGATATGAAGAAGAAGAAGAAGAAGAAGAGGGAGAACTAATCCCCAAAAACACAAGTTGGTGAATAATCAAAGAAAACGGAAATAATTTGAAGAAATCAAATAGAAAGCCAAAATTATTGACCAAATGAATAAACCCAATAAAAATGATATTAATCTCTGGTTGTTATTCATTTGAATTCAATTCTATGTTGTTACATGGATTTGATTTTTTGTTTGGAGCGGGTATACGAATTTTGTTTGGTTGTTTAAATGACTTGTATGAATGAATATAACAAATATAATGAGTGAATTTATGTGTATATGTGTTCATCTATATGTTTTTGTCTGTTTATTTATGGGTTAACATTTGCAATACAAAATGTAATAATACTTATCTATTCCACATTATATTCCTTATTACTTTTACTGTCGAAATAATGGAGGTTGTGATAAATATTATCATGGGTAATACTTGTTAGACCACACACACAGATACATAACAGAATAAAGAGACAACTATTTGATTGATTAATTAATTAACAAATAAATGAATAATTAGTAGTCAATTAAGTAGCAGTATCTGTTAGTACTACTACCATGAAGAAGTGAAATTTGGAATAAAAAGTAACATACATGCACACATACACAAATGTACCGATACACACAATCTGAAAGAAAATATTTATATGATAAATAGATAGACAGACTACAAAACCCATGAAGTACCTACACGAAGTGAACAAATCATACTAAAAAAAAAATTTTTTTTCTAAAGAAAGAGAAAAGATTTTTCTAGATCATCTGTAACACCCATCCCTTCATTATTTTGACAGATATCATTAATAAGATTGAATATATAGTTGTATAATACTGATCAATTTAAAAAGGTTTCCTTTTTTTAGTTAAATTCTTCAATCCAGGAGTGTAAAAGGCCTCCTCCACAGGATGGGATCGATGAGTGATGATTAATGGGGAAAATCATGAATTGTGTTTAAAATGATGAATAATATGAATAGTATTTTTGACTTAAGAGTCATTTCTCCTCCCAATATTTTTAATTTTAAATTTATTGATTTATTTTTTTGTGTTTTATAGAAACCAGATACAATTAGTTGTACACGAAATAATTTGTCACGTGGTTTTTTTTAAGAAAGAAAAATACCTTGATTAGTTGTTAAGGAAACAAGGGAAAAAAACGTGTCATAACAGTTGTTTCTTCTTACCATTTCCCTTTCTAAAAATCATACATTATAAGAAAAAAAAATGTAATCCAAAGAACAAAAATCCAATAAAAAGAGAAATTGGTTATTAGAGGGGTGGAATAAGAACAAAAAAAAAACAAATTAAATGGAAACAAATGAGAAGAAAGTAATAACTGAGTAAGGTGATGTAATATTTACCCATCTGTTGATCAATAAAAACAAAATATAAAATCATTCACAATTAAAAAAGAACAAAAGATAACTAATCAATAAGTGTAATCAATCTCCTTACACTCTAAATTATAAACAGACTATTCACTTTATATATATTTAAGAACATGTCACATTATAATGTATAATATTGTGTACTTGTGTGTGTGTGTGTATGTTTGTCTATGTGTATGTGTATGCATAGATGTACATTGATTGAATAGAAACATACACAAAACATCAACAATACTACTTATTAATGTATGTTAAGATAATAATTTTTAAATGGGAAAAAAAATGAATTCAATCAATCAATAAATACACAATATCATGGATTATTGAATGAAAAGAAACTTGGTAACAAGAAACAAAGATCAAAAATAAGGTAATACATTTAAACATATATATTATATATATATATTATATATAGATATATGTATAGATATATATACATACCTTTTTTTAAAAAATTTCTATGAATGTATTCAATGTTGAAAATTTAAGTGTTTTTTTAAATAAAATAATTAAAAATTGTTTTTTTTTAAAATAAAAAAATTGTAAAATATATAATAAAACAATAAATGGATAAATTAACAAATGCTTGTAGGTTATTTTTGTTTTGTTTTTTTTTTTGAGTTTTTTTTTGGGGGGGGAAGGGGAATTATTAAATATACTTTTTTTGAAAGTTAAGATCACTTTTTGTTTTGTTCAGTTGATTTCTACCTTCTTTGAAATAAATAAGTAAATATCATTGTATATATCATATATATAAATAAATAAATATAAATATTATTATTATAAATTACATTATATAAAGATAATTTCAATGGAAGATTCACTTCAATCAATTAAATAATAAAGGCGCATTGATTTTTTTTGTTGTTGTTGTTCGAAAGAAAGAGAAGAAACATGAAATTAACTTGTTTAAATAAACAAGAACAAGTATACAAACACACACACATGAACACAACAATAACAATCGAGGTAAGAGAAAGAGTGTGAGAGAGAGAGAGGGGGAGAGAAAAGGTGAAAAATGTAATACTAAGAATTTGAAATGGATACACAAATTAGAAATCTTATTAGGAATATTATTACCAGGGTTTTTGGAAATGAAAACAATCAAAATGGAAAAGACAGAGTGTTTGTGTGTGAGAAAGAGAGAATGTTTATTATAAATATTATTGTTATCAATCCTGTTTAGTTAGTATCAATGATATTTTATGAATCTTTTATGAATATTGTTTGTTTTAATTAATCAACAATGAATTGTAAAATGATGGAACTTTCTTTATTATTGATAAGAAAATGATGGTATTTCAATATGATCTATAAGAAATAGGAGAAAAAAATTATTATCAGAAGGGATTTTTGTGGAGATTATAGTAATTTTATAGTTCAAAGCGTGAGTCAGCTGAAGCTAGACCACAATTGTAAACCTGGAAGTACTGGACGGCCAATGGTGTAATTTCATTAATCCTAAATTTCATTTCAGATTTTTGGTTTTAGTGTCATCCCATACTTTCCATCTTTTGACCTCGTTTATTCCTTATCAATTTTTTTAATTTTTGATTTGTAACTTACATCACAGATTAATTTTATCGAGATAACTATTGAAAATCAGGAAACATGAAACAACTTGAGATGGTGGAGAAGATTTGTAGCTCATGGTGGGTGATTTTGATGGAGTTTTGTTTTGTGAGCTGGATGGTTTGGTCGTGGAGCTTTGATCGTCCTTCTGAACGACATCATCAGCACAAACTTCGGGTAGAAGTGAAGTGTTGATGATGTCGTTCAGAAGGATGATGAAAGCTCAACGACCAAACAATCCAGCTCAGAGAACAAAACTCCATCAAAAACATTAAACAACTGTTTCATTTTAATATTGAAGTCCTCAACAGTGCGCTGCTATGACCTTGTTACGAGTCGAATATAAGAACTTCAAGATGTACAAGGAGAGTATGGAAAATATTCCCAATATCAGTGACTTCAAGATATTGAATTACTAATACCCATCTTTATCTTTGACAATTGTCTCACACTAAATATGGTTAAAATTTCATTGATCATAACTCCTTAATTAAACTTTGTGAATTCCTCTGAAGGGCGCTCACTACTGAGTATATATTTAACTTATTACTATGATTCAGATTATTTCCCTCATCTGTTTTTTATCCAGTTTATTTATTACTCGTTTTTCTCACTTAGAGATGTATGACGACTTCTACCAACAGATATTTTATAACAAGTTATCATGTATTATCAATGACTAATTTATAACCCTACATTAACTTTGGTATGAAATTAAAATCTATACCATAATATTATTTATCTTCTAATAATCACTTACAAGGAGCTTGAAAATAACCTGTATGATCGGGTAATGCAACAGGAAAATGTGATGACAATGTATTATGCGGTCCAATAACTCGATTTGCCGCTGCAGCCGCGGCTGCTAACGACGCAGCTGCGGCTAATGATGCCGCTGTCAATGGAATCGGATTCCCATGTGCCCCTGCCGCTGCTGATGGTGGTGCTGGCTGTGGAGGTGGTAAACCCAAACCGATGGAATTCTGTTGTTGTGATTGTTGTTGAAGGCTGAAAAATGCTGCGGCCGCAGCCGCGGCTGCCGCTGCTGTTGCATTCATAGTATTATTTCCATTAGTACAATTGCTCACTGAACTACCCCCACCACTACTACTACAACCAGTAACAGTCCCAATTCCAACACAATTATTAGTATTTGATACAGCAGAAGTAACACGTATTACAGGTGACTGACTATGTTCTTTGATATTCCCTGTTTCGTTATTAGTTCCATTTATCAATCCTGTTGATCCATTCAGCTTGTGATGATGATTATGATGATGTTGATTTTGTTGATGGTGATGATTATGATGATCATTTTGGGAATTTAATTTACCTCCATTTACTTGTGTCACTAATCCACATGGAGTATAAATTGATGAAAAATCAGTTTTAGTATCTGGTAGACTAGACCGTTTATTTGACAAACCATTTATTGTATTGTTAGTGTTAAGTAGATGACGTGGTGTATTAGTTGATATATGTGTTGGTAAATTTGGTACACCATGTAAACTTGTCATTCCATTGGCTGTAATTGCATTTAAATATGGACTAAATCCAATATTCTAAGAGATAAAATAATAAAGGATAAATGTAACAATATACATTTATATTACTTATTATCAATATAGAGGTTAGTCGAGATTATTCATATCAAAATTCGACCTAAATCAGACATCCTTTGAAAACTAAGAAGTACTGGATAACTGTTTCATCCGAATATATAAACTCTTAAGCAATTTCATCCATAACTCTACTACAAAGAATCAAATCCAAACTCTTCAGCCTCATACTTGAATGTATAACTTCTAGACTGCCAAGTCAGAATCTATTAGTGTTTGTATTCAGTTTCAATCAATTATATTAGTTATTTTGAATAATTAATCAACATAGACTGATATCAGTTGACAAGGTAAAACATTAAAATTTATTTAGATACACATAAATAATAGTTAGCAGGGCAATAATAATTGTTTTTTTTTAAATTTTAATATTACTTCCTATTTGTCACAGATATACAATTGATATTACCTGTAAATAACAAAAAAAACAGAACAAGCAAAGATGGCTAGTGGCTAGCAATGGAATAAGGCTATATCGAGGCAATACGTACAATATGTACATATGCCAATTATAGACTGACCAGTTGCAGTCCTAAAACATCAATGGGAAGATTCAAACAAACAATACTTAATGAATTTAAACTTCACCCCATCGCACAAGCAAGTGGCTATCAGGACTCAGTGGCCGAGTGGATAACAAGATGGCGTTTGAAGCTAAAGGTACTGGGTTCGAGTCCCAGAGTGAACATTAACTCTGAAATGCAGGTACATCCAGCTGACGAGTCCCAAATAGGACGAAACGCGCGTCAAACTGGATTACACTGCTAGCCATTATCCATCTTTGCTTACCATGCTTGTGAATCAAGGCAATACGCACAGTATGCACATATGCCAATTATAGACTGACCAGTCGCAGTTCTAAAACATCAATCGGAAGATTCAAACAAACGATACTAAATGAATTTAAACAAACAAAATATTTGAAATTCACTTAAAAGCATTAGTTGAATTAATGATTGATTAATCGATTAATTGATTGATTGCCGATTAAATTACATAATAATTTTTTTCTACAACATAAATATTATTTCCTTTCAATAATAATCAATACCATCCATGACATAATAAGAATAGGTTATTAATTTTGTACTATACTAATATAAAATAAAGAAAATATTATCAATATTGTATAAATTATTTGACTAAAATTTTTAAAAAAAACAAAGAAAAGAAAAATCATTTAACTATGGAAAATATTGATTTAGTTTTATTTACAAATTAATGAATTATTTTTTTTTTTTTATTTTTCAACTTATCAGATTTGAATTATTGACTGATAGAGATAATTGAAGAACATATGGAACTGAAAACAATTGTCAACTAATTTCAAAGTGAGAATCTTTAATATGAACGTCAAGGCAGTCCTACTGTAAGGAGCTAAAACTTCAAGAACTACTACAACCATCATCAAAAAGCTACGAGTATTTATAAACAATTGCCTACGCAAAATACTCAACATCCATTGGCCGGATACTATCAGCAACAGCGTTTTATGGGAGAGGACAAACCAGCTTCCAGCTGAATAGGAAATTAGAAAAAGACGTTGGAAGTGGATAGGACATACATTAAGAAAATCAATAAAATACGTCATGAGGTAATCCTTAACTTGAAATTGTGAAGGGAAGCGTAAAAGCGGAAGGCCAAAGAAGACATTACACCCGGGAACTGAAACTTTGTTAGAAGTAACAATTATGAATAGATCTCACTTACATATTGAAGTTTGCAGTTAATTTTTTGTCTACTTAAGTAATTTATAAGTAGGATAATACATAAAAAGAAAATATTCATCGAAGCAAACGACAATTCATGTAGCTCAACTCTCTTCTGATGGTTGAATGGATTATGAAGACCTCGACATCGGAGAGAAAGAACGCAATAAAATGTTTAGAATGCATGCAACTAGATGATTTGGATTTCACAGATCTGTCCCCTACACACAAATAAAATCGGATCAAGATAACCAGTGTGGCAGAAACCTCTACATTAGCAGGCCTCAACATACACAAGGGAAAAAGCAACGTCCTCAAATACAACACATACAACACCAACACAATCACACTTGATAGAGGAACTCTGAAACAGGTGGAAACTTTCACATACGTTGGTAGCATCATCGATGAACGTGGATGATCTGATGCAGATGTACAGGCCAGGAAAACAAAGTAATTACAGCATTAGTAAAGTTGAACAACATATGCGACACAAAACAACAACTGTCGGTCAACAAATATGAAAGTCACAATCTTCAATATGAACGTCAATACAGTTCTAATGTATGGAGCTGAAATCTTGAGAACTACTACAACCATGATCAAAACCGTACAAGTATTTATAAACAATGGTCTACGTAAGATACTGAATGTCCTTTGGCCGGATACCATCAGCAACAGTCTACTGTGTGAGAGAACAAACCAGCTTCCAACTGAATAGGAAATAAGGAAAAGACGTTGGAAGTCGATAAGACACACATTTCAGAAATCATCAAACTAGATCACGAGGCAAGCGCTAACTTGAAATCGTGAAAGGAAACGGAAAAGAGGAAGACCAGAGAAAACACTGCATCGAGAATATGAAGCAGACATCAAAATAATGATTAGTGATTAGAAACAATTGGAAAGGGTTGTCCAGGACAGAGTTTGATGGAGAATGCTGGTAGGTGACCTATACTCCTCCATGAGGGGTAACAGGCACAAGCGAGTAATATTTTCCTAGTCTATTAACTACAAATTTACGTATTCGCTGCCGTTTTCCGTTGTACTGTGGTTCAGTTTTTTCGGTCTATAAACCAAATTTGTTTGAAATCTGGATATGGTAGAGGTTGCTTGCTATTTTTGACCACAAAGTTGGGTGCATACAGAAAAGTTAGGGTATAGCAGACCAACATGAACTTAGCTCCTAGTCAAAGTTAATATTGCTGATCTAGCATATAACTGATCAAATCAGAGACACTAAGCTATAAATTAAATATCACACCAAATTAGAATCAGATTCTGATTGGACACTGGATACGTGGATATTGGTCAATGGCTTTCAAGATGTTACAGTAACCATTAAGTAGTGATCACCATATTTAATTTAACATTATCGAAGTACTTGTATAACATAAACATAACGACTATTTTTAAAAAGAAAAAGATGATTAAAAATAAATTAAAAGTAACCAATTGTAATATATAAATCAAGAATGAGACTGTTGGGATGATCCTAAAAATTTCTAGCAATAGACATGACAAGCTCGGGAAAACATCAAGCCCCCTTTTATCTAATCAGCGTTCAATAGACGTTTTACTAGAAATATCGCGAAAATGAAAAGTCACATGTAGAGGTTCTGGTTGACTGATTACTACAATGCTACTATGTTTTGTAGCATTCTAGAATTTTCAGGAAAACCCAAGGACTTCCAAAATACTATAAAAACCTTTGGAGTAAAGTGATTCCCTCATATTTTTTGCATTTTCTCTCGTGTACAAGTCGCTATGTAGTTCTAGCTTAGGATTCGAGTATAGCATTCAATCAACAAAACTTATCAGAAACAGAAAAATGTTTAAATATAATGAACAAAATTCATTCATCCTACCAAATAATGATTCTCATCATTATTGTCTTTATACTCTAATATTCTTTCTCTATATAGCTGTATTAGTTTCATCATTAATGTATGTTCAAATGCATTATGATTATTATCATTATAAACATGATCCGCTTGTTTATGCTTATCTTTATTGATAATCAATAAATGATTATAAATATTATTGAAAGAATTAATTAGACATGCTTTTTTCCTAGGTGGTGATTCTATCTCCATTGGTATACTATTAACAATACAATCTGAATGTAAATTCGTTATCATTGAAGATGACGATGAAAAGGAAGTGGATGAGAACGATGACGATGATGATGATGATGGTGATAATGTAAAAGATGACCTCTCTTCATTGCTTAAATCCCATGATTTCATTAAAGTTAATTTTTTCAATAGGCAGTCATCTGAATGAATAACTTTGTTAGTTGAATCATACAACCATGAAATATCAATGAAAGAAGGTGATGTAATTGACTTTCATTGAAAAAGACACGTCCACACACACACACAAATGTACCGATGTAGTGTGTAGATATATGAGTCAAAAAATTACGATTCAATGATTTTGAACGGATAATTTTAGGTATTATAATGGTGACATTTGTTGGGGTCATTAATGATAATAATAATAATGATAATCATGACGATAATGACAAACAGCACAGAATTAAACGTAAGTAATGTTATTTGAAAAAAAACATGAAAATTGCAACAACAACAAAACAAACAAACATCAGCAGTTTTATGGAAAGTATCAACCAAATCATTCATATGCAGTCATGGAAACACAGCACACAGCAGTATATGTTTAGTATTAAATAAAACCATTACATGTCAGGTTGTTATCAGTTTATGGTTTTTTACCAACATTATTGTTATTATCATTATTATTATCATTGTAAATGTGTCAAATAGGTTTATATGGTAGTTACAAAACAAGCATGACAATAAAATAAAACCAAAAAAAAGAAAAAGATAAAAAAAAAGATCAGTCGTTAGAGCAAGTCAGTGGTAATTAATAAAATACACACACACAAAAAACCCAAATAAAATTTTCAACGAAAAACAAAACAAATTAGAAATACGATTCTATATATTATGTTTGATAAAATAAGAGAAAAGATTTTAAGAAATCATGAACGGTTATTTTGAAACAAGGTGACGACGTTTTTTATTAAATATGTTATGCTACTTATAAGTAGTCAAATTTATAATCGACAAATGTTTGGACGTTTGGTAGACGAAGTTTTTCTAACGAATGTTTTAATCACATATTAGTCTTCAATATTATGTAAATAATCTGTTCGTTTGTAATATTTTAATTGTATAGTAGAAGAATAGATACTGTATGAATTTCAGATATTTAGTCAAATACTAAATGTCTGAGTAATGACACCTATGATTGTGACATTGTATAGCATAAGGGCTTGAATATTAGGAGAGGTATCAGTTTCTTTGATATTGCAGATACGTCTAGTTGATAAGTCCCAGCTTGTATGAAACCTAGTTCCGAGGTTTCCTATAGAACGTCTTCAACCGTTTCACATTACAATTGGTGTTGCTTTTGACAGTTGTAGTCTATATTACACTCTGAACTCTAAAATTTTAGTATTCGATGTTTCCATTGTCAGTTTTGTCAGTTTTAATAATAATAATAATATATTTATCTTTATCACAGTCAAAGATCTATATAATATTCAAACTGCATTTAATAGATGCAAAGTATGAATGTTAATATTTCTTCCATAAATATTGCATCGACAAGCACACACAAACACACCCATACATACCCATACAAGCTCAACACTGGTAAATTGTCACAAAAGTGCTTTTCTGGTTATTTACATAAAAGATAAAAATATAAATGTTTAAATAAAAAATAGCAATACTACTAAAAAATAACCAATACATGACTACTTACAAGCAGTGGATAAGCCGATGGTGCACCAGTTTGATTGGTGAGAGCTAACGCCGCTGGTGTTGTATAGATTAACTATAAGAACAAATAATAATTGCAAAAAAATAAATTAGAATAGTCAATCAAATAAAAATCGACAATAAATTCTTATCATCTCTAGATTGTAACTGGTGATTGAATCCAGAAGGCATGTTTCGTCTTATTTAAGACTCACCAACTAACTCTGAAACGATAACACATTCCCGGCTGATGAGTTCCAAAGGAAAACGAAATGTCAGTCCGGAATTCCGCTATTAGCTTCAATCAACTATAAAGATAACCTAAACAGAATGTATATAGGTATTCATAGAAACTGACTAATCACATTCTTTAATAATAACAAAATGGGAAATTTGAACAAAATCTTTTGTGTTTTTTCTCTATTCAAAAAACAAACAAACAAATACCTCCAATCCCATGAATCGATCATCATTATCATCATCACAACTGAAAAATCATTTATCATTCAATTATTTTACTATCCAATTTACCTGAATTGAATCACTTCCAACATATAATTACAAAAGTCTAGTTTTCTTTGACAATTTCGTTTGTCAGATTACTAGTTGTCACTTGAAAACAACTAAAAAATAGTTGCTTTGTGATCTTTTTTTTCTTTCCTTCTTTAGTAAGTGAGTGAGTGTATTATTGAATAAATTTGACATGAGTAAAACAAATGAACAAACAGAATTCATTATATAAACTAAACTAAAAACAATCACTAGGGTATGATATGGGAAGTTAAGTTAATGTCTAGTAAAAATTTCACAGAGTGAAAAAAACTACGTACAACTGATATAGTATCCAAGAGGAAAGATTTATTGAGAAATATGAGAAAAGTAAAGACAAAACTTAAAAAAAAGTCTATAGTGTAGTGTGGTCTACTTATATCCATATAAGTAGTATATGGTGATGGTTAGACATAGAATGTATATTGGTAGAAGACCAATAAGGAAAGAACTGAAATGAAGTGCAATTAGTAGGAAAATGCATGAACAATGAAATTAGAGAAGATGGATTGATATTTACAGAAGGAAGATTGAAGACTGATGATTATTTTGCAAATTAACTGTTTGCTGTATGGTTATCAGAATTTACTCCCTGAATCTCGATAAAACTTCTGCCAATCATTATTATTTTGTTATGATATCACTGAATGTATTTGATAACAACGAATTATGAAGAATCGACATTATTTTGAATCTATCGAATAGGGAGTAACGGCTTATTGGTAAAAGCATTAACAGTTTCCAATAAGTAGGGTAACTCCGCCTGTAGCTCTTCTATAGTTACTGCCGGTCCCAAGCCCGGGTAAAGGAGGAGGGTTGGGCATGAGGTTAGCGACCCCATCCCGTAGAAAAGCCAACTCGCTTAAAAACGCTAACCAGAAAAAAAATAAATAAGTAGGGTCTAGTTCATACCTTTTATTACTTACTTTGATTCAGATAATCATCGATACTGTAACTATCCCTGATATAAATAATATGGTTCAAAGTTGTATATTATTAGGGATATTAAATACCCAAAATACAACGGTATTAAAAATAAATCAATCTTTGAAATTACTTATCGATTTAAGGTGAGTTTTTTTGCAACTGACTGTCATTGCATTTTCATTGCAATTTTCTGTTCAACTAAAAACTTATTCCCTTTGTTAATGTCATTAACTAATAAACAATGAATCCAATCAATATCATAGTTGAATAAACTCGAATGTGAATTCGTTTTTTCGGGTCACCTACTACCAAGTAAGGATTCCTTACAATATTCATTTTTCGAAATATAGGTGGAGACAAATGAGGAATAAAAGTTGTTGTGTTGTGATATCAAATTATAGTTAGCGTGATTACTGTCATCCTAAAGATATAAAGTTTTAAAAAACTCAAAATTGTTTCTTTTTTTTACAAAAAAGAAACTACAAATCATGTCCTCACTTGGAATCCTCAAGGCCGAAGGAGAAGAGGAAGACCAAAAAGCACATTACGCAGAGAACAATGAGAAGAATGAACAATAATTGAATAGAACAAGAAAGGAAGGTCCAGGATAGAGTGAGTCGGAGAATGCTGGCCGGCGGCCTATACTCTATTAGGGGGTAACAGGTGTAACTATGTAAAGTAAGTGATTATTGTTATCCCAAACATAAGAAGTTTATAAAAACTCGAAATTGCTCTATTTTTGGAAAAAAAACAACTACAAATCATGCCACCGAAAATAATATTTATAATAATCATCGTGCAAAAAAAAGTATCAATATTGAAATCTATTTGTGTTCTACTCAAAGAAATCTACGAAAATGTTTATTTATTTATTTAAACACATAAACATTGATACAAAGGGGCACCAGATACATATGCGCCACAGAAATCTCATTTGATTTGTGTGAGGGTTGTAATACTGCTCGGGTGCCCAAACCGAAGCAGGTGGTTTTCTTAGAGGGCCACAACTGGAGCCTTTGACCTAAAGGTCTAATCCACAAGGCAGTGAAGCATCGTGAGGAGATACAGTCCCATGGTAGCCAGTGACCAACGACTAATTTATACACCATTTGTTCCCTCAGGATACTGGAGCTCATGTGCACTATTGATTTGGAATCAGGGTTTCCCAACTCCAGTAGGTGAACTTTCCGTGTCCACCAACCCGGTTAAAGCGCCAGACATTCACTTTTCGTCCTCTCAATTTTGTAAACTACAGTAATGTCACGAGAAGGTAGTGAGTAAGACTTCACTGGCGGAGGCTGTATACTTGCGGCCATGTGGGAGCATTTCGAGAGCACAAGCGAGCCCTCCCCACTCTCGGCCGTACCAGGGCATTTGGGAGCTACGAAAATGTTAGAGAAAAGAAACCTTAGGAAACTCTTACAATACTACAATCCATTTAATTATAATCGTGTAATGAAATATGAAAATAATCGATTATCAACATATAATCACAATCTATTAATTTTGTATATTGATAATGTTGTGTTTAACAGGGATTGTTTTACAGGTTTAAGTAAAGATAAATACTACTATTATGAATTCGACTACTACTACTATTACTACTACTGATATAAATTATTTTTATTCTATCACATACAATATCATACCTATTATCATTTCACAACCATATTGTTTACTCTTCCGTTGATTGTAAACTAACGTGAACAATGAAGATAACTTGAAATATAAAGAAATAGATTGTTTGGTTTGAACCAATCATAATTGAGTGAATGATTTTAAATTTATGAGCGAAATTTAAAAATGAATAGAAGTGTGATGGACGCTACTCACGAGAGCGCTTGTCAATAGTGTACGGTGGAACGTGGATTCGAAGTTGTTACAACTGTCAGACAGAGAGGATAGCTTCAGTACATCAAGAGCACAGAGTAGACAGAACACATAAGGACAAGACGAGAAAACAGTTTGGATTGCAGAGCACACATCACAAGATGCAAATGTATGATTGAAGGCGATATATACGTATTATGTAAACACTGTAATCTTTCACAAATATCTCGTTCAACAACAGTATCTTTACACAGAGCCCTGAGAGTTTAAAATGGCCAAAGACAGTTTTATTGCCGATTTAGAGTAAAATTACTATTGTTAAATGTATCAGATGCTCGACTCTATCTATGTAGATTGTGAATAGCATACAAAATAGCAATATCCTTAAAATCTAGCATTGAAATTTTTCCCTTAAATAAATTAAACATTCAGTAGATTATTAATAATAAAATTTCAATGAGTGGAAAATTTAATTCCTGACGTTTCGTCACTTAGTGTAAGTCACTTCTTCGAAAAATATATAAATAGCTGAATTATGCTAACACAAGCTAACTGTGATGTTTCACCATAAAAAACCGGGAAACACTGGATGGTCATTTCATGCTGGTATAAGACTCCTCAGTAATGCGCATCCACGATCCCGCATGTGGGACTCGAAACTAGGACCTTCGGTTGTATTTCATCAATGAATTAACTGAATTCTAGTGAGAAGCCGTGATCAATGGAGTTCAACCACATCTGTTGTTAGACAGTTACTCACTGAAAACAATGGTGGACAGTCGCGCAATATTGTGGATTAGTCGAAGTTAGACATTAACACCGTTTTATGTCGGCTCAGTGGTCTAGATATTAAGTGTTCATACGCGGCATCAAAGGTCCTGGGTTTCAGTCGCACATGAGAGATCGTGGATGATGTGTACTGCTCACGAGTCCCATACTAAGACGAGAGGACCTTCCAGTGCTTCTTCCAGGTTTTCCATGGTGATCTAGCCCTAATTTACTCATTAAATCAGCTATTAAATTACTAAAATCTCTACAAAACCCCCCTTCTTATAATATATACGTATAAAAAATTTTCAGCTGTACCGATGAAACCAGCCAATTAGAAGTAAGACATTCCGTATCATATTTTCGATCAGTAGAGTAGTTCATCAAAAAAGAAGAATAGTTATGTTCACTTTCAAGTAAACAACCCATATTAATCATCAGTAAAAGTATTAAATGAATTAATTGAAGTATATATTTCAGAAAACAATATGGTTACTTATATAAGAACTCTCGTCTAAATTAGAACGAATAGTTTCACAGTATTTGAGCGCCGAGTTGAAGTAAGACATTAAATAGGAATAATATATTTGTAAAATTTCAGCGAATGAATTTTTTAAATTAAAATATGGTTACTTGTAATCCAACTTCATGTTTTAACCGTATCTTATATTAATTCAATTTGGTAGTGATATTTAATCATATTTGTTTTTATGTATATATCAAACATTTTGTAGTTATATCCAAACAAATAATTAGAAAGAGATTGTTTGTTTGAATTCTGAAGCAAATCTACATTCATCAAAAGATTGTTTAGGTTATTCTTTGTACAATTTCGACCAAATAGTAATGTGGAAACTGTTCTTAAAATCCAATGCATTATGTTGAGATCAAATTGTAATTCGAATGACGCTAAAGAACTAGACAATCATGACATTGATTGCTTTTCAGTGACCAATCAATTGTAAACATTTCAGTCCTACAAAAGGCTTCAGTCATAACCAGAATAACATAGTGGTAACGTCTCAGATTGTGAAACAATGGAAAGTGGTTTTACTCACCATTTCTTTAAATACTGAAGGTATACTTTGCTGACGATTCTTGAACAGCACGATACATAGGTAAATGGTTCCTGTCAGCTACATTCAACAATCTAACATAGATACTAAACTTTATTAATACACGTTTAGATTATTTGAATCAAGTATCTACTGTCGGTTACACCAAGAAACAAACAATATGTGTAGCTTCAGGAATCTAATATAGAGAGTATACCTTGTATCCCGTTTCTGTGGTAAAATCTATAGCAGTAGAAACTCCATTATTGCAATACATCGAAGAATTGTAACTTCAAAATACTTTTCATACATAATTTGACTACTTATAAGTAGCTAGTTCATATGTTAGAATATTTTTCCCTAAAAAATTAAAGTGATTTCAGTCAATAAACATTTAGCTAACTTTTAAATATTACTCAAGTATTTATCACATAAATACACAAAATGAATGCTGATCTTACTACTTACAGAATTCGAATTATTCGCTAATGTTCCTTGGGTTGGATTTGCTGCAACAGCAGCCGCTGCTGCCGCTGCTAACGGACCAACACCAGTTTGGGCTAATAATTGTTGTTGTAACAATTGAAACTGTACATTTCTCATAATCATATTATTTCGACCATTTTGTATTAATTGTTCACGTAAATGTTGTGGTGGATGCAAATACTTACAAGGTGGATCTCGACGTTGGCATTTACCCTATAATAAGAAAATAATAATAATAAAATAATTTCCATTAAACAATTAAAGTATGAAGTAGAAAAAAAAGAACATCAAAGACTATTTCATAGTTATTCGTTTATTTAAGACCAAATATTGAAGGCTGTTGCTGATGGTATCCAGCCAGTGTGTGTAGAGTATTTCGCGTATACAACTGTTTATAAATACTTGTACCTTATTGACGATGGTTGTAGTAGTTCTGGAGGTTTCAGCTCCGTACAGTGGGACTTTATTGACGTTCTTGACACAATATGTTCTTTCGTCCTCCTCTTTACCTTGTCCGATTCCGGTCCCTCCTTGGAATGAGTCTGTCATATGCCCACCATATACGATGGTAATTAACAACGGACGAACAAGAACAGATAAAGTAAAGATACACATCAAATACACAGAAGCAAACACGCAGGCAAAGAAGAACAATAAGTTTGACCAGCACAAATACATGGAAGACGTAGCAGTGACAGCGGACAAAGCTGCAAAAGCAGGAAATATCAAACAACTATATTAGACGATGAAGAAACTAGCAGGGAATATAGCAAGCCAGAGAGAACAGTCAATAACAAACAAGGTGAGCCAATCACTGAGATTCAAGAACAGAGGAAAAGATGGCTACAACACTCTGAAGAACTCTTGAATACACCAGCTCCACTAAACACATCACACATCGAAGCAAAACACACAGACCTACCTGCAGATGTCACTCCACCAACCATCGAATAAATCACGATGGTCATCAGACAAATGTTGAGTAGGAAACCAGTTGGACCTGACAACATACCACGTGAAGCACTCAAGTCACATATATAAGTAACTGCAAACATGCTTCACCTTCTATCCAGAACGATTTGGGAGGAGGAACAAGTGCTACTGACAGACTGTAAAGATGGATATCTCATCGAGATACCAAATAAAGGAGATGTGAGCGAATGTGAGAATTACAGATAAATCACACTACTATCGGTACCAGGAAAGGTTTACGACATAGTGTTGTTGAACTGGATGAAACATTCGGTAGACGTCCAAATTCGAGATCAACAGACCAGTTTTCTTTATGATCGATCGTGCATGAACCAAATCGTGACACTATGGATCATCGTTGAACAATCAAATAGATGGAACTCATCACCATACATCGACTTCCTTGATTATGAAAAAGCGTTAGACAGTGTCGATAGGAGAACACTATAGAATTTTCTTCGACACAATGGAGTGAGTAGCTGAGAAGATCGTCAGCATCATATGAAATTCATACGCCAGACTACACCTTAAAGTCGTGTATGGAAGACAACGGACAGACTCATTCCAAGTGAGGACCAGAGTCAGACAAGGTGAAGAGGAAGACCAAAGAACACATTATGTCAAGAATTGTAATCAGACATCAAAAGGATGAATAGCGACTGAAAATAACTAGTGACACAAATTCAAAATCGATTGTTTGCCAATGACAAATAAATATCAAGTACTTTATATCTATCAATATATACTGGCTTCAGTCAACAATCGACGTCTACATTGTGATCAAATATGAGGAGCCATTCATGCTAACTACTACTACTTCTAATAATACCAATACCACTATTATTGTTATTACTACTTGGAATACTAATATTAATACTATTGTTTAATAACTCACATTGATATTAAAAATTATTTACTTCACAATCGTTAAATAATCTCAATATTGGATAATTGTGTATGCCATTTTAGTTATGAATAACGATTTACAATTCGAAATATTACGAGAAAACAATAATATTTAGAAGAAGAAAATAAAAAAAGGAGAGATAGAAGGAAAAGAAAGAAAAGAAGAATGTCAGAATATATATGTACCGACCACAGCAGTCCTTCGAAATAGTAACCAAATAATATGACAAAATCTGTACACACATAGGCAAAAGCAAAGAAGTCTGTTTCCTTTTCGTGATCTCCTCTCCTCACCCCTCCCCTTACTTCCTTTGCATACCTGTCAAGTTTACCAATATAGTTCATTCATTGATATATATATATTGATATGGTAATGAACAGAGAAAAGTATAACATAATATAAAGATTGAAGTAAAATACATACAATCATGATTAAATCATATGTACATATAAATGAATACAATGTTTACAAGGATGTATCTAATTTTTTTTTGTCTCCATCTCCAATTCTTCCTATTCTTGTCTATTTTCGCCATTTTTCATTGTTTCAATAATATAACATATTAATTTGATATTACCAAATACATATAACAGTAATGATTTATACAATACTATGCAGATTATGGTATAGCAACTTGAACCGATGCATATATGTGCCTGGTTGTATGTTGTAACTGACTGACTGACTGCCACAGATGATAAAGTTCTCCCTTTTTGTTTAGTTATGAATAAAGAAGTAAATAAATAACTTCATTCTTCCTCTGTTTTCTTTCTTTTATATTTCTGTTTATTAAAAGGAGTATTTTCAGTGTTTCTTTCTCGAAAACACATATATTTCATTAATTGTCATTGATATATCACTATATATACATATGCATTTCCCTTTTGTAGAGTACAACGTATAGTTTACTATTTTAAGATTACCAAACAAATACACACACACGTACACATTTGAATTCGATTCTGTTCATGAATAATAATCATGAACAAGCAATGAAAAATACATGTAACTATATTTTCTAATTGAGATCATGAAACGATCAATGTTACACTACCACTGAAAACCTGGAAGCACTGGACGACCATTTCGTGGATACCCACTACTGAGGAGTTACATACTAGAACAAAACGGACGTGAAGTGCTTCCAAATTTTTAATGGTGGTTTAACATTGACCGATTCATGACCTCAATCAAAAACTTAACAATCTCCACTACCCTATACTGATATATGTTGTTGTATTATAAAGCTTTTGGTCGGAATCAACGTATTATTTATCAAATTTTAGTGAGAATGAATTATCTTTTATTAGTTGTGTTCTTTTAAAAACATTTAAATGGATAGGAAGATTCAACCAAACAATACTAAATGAATTTAAACTTCACCCCATCGCACAAGCAAGTGACTATCAGGACTCAGTGGCCGAGTGGATAACAAGATGGCGTTTGAAGCGAAAGGAACTGGGTTCGAGTCCCAGAGTGAACATTAACTCTGAAATGCAGGTACATCCAGCTGACGAGTCCCAAATAGGACGAAACGCGCGTCAAACTGGATTACACTGCTAGCCACTATCCATCTTTGCTTACCATGCTTGTGAATTAAGGCTATGTCGAGGCAATATGCACAGTATGCTCATATGCCAATTAGAGACTGACCAGTTGCAGTCCTAACACATCGATTGGAAGATTCAAACAAACAATACTAAATGCATTTAAATTGAAGTTTACTTTATTCTATCTTTATTGAATATTGTCATTGATTTGACTACATTTCTGACGAAAATAAAAAGAAATCATTTATGAAACACAACACAGATGAAAATCAATTGAAGAATAATTGAAAAATAGAAAGGTATTGCATAAGTACTTTTGGTGCATACGTCAATGTTTCTCAGAATATTCACAATATTGATGACACATTCGTAAGTCAGTCAGTCAGCTACAACGTAGGACCAGGCACATAAATATGCATCGATCCAAGTTGCCATACCTCATTAGCACAACAAGATGAACACCGAATTCATAAAAGTAGTTAATTTAGTGGTGTTATTATATAAAATAATGGTTGTATATAAGGATATAGTATGGAAAGACAGATATGAAGCAATTTTAATCTCAAGGTTTAAGGGAAGACAGAAAGTGCATACGCCTGCACCATTGTGATCGATTCTGAGCTATGTCACCTAGAGTCTCCAACATTCATAACTAGTGGGTTTATAAGCCTACCGTCTGAAGATAAGTGTATAAATTGCGAATCATGACTTAGAATTCATTGATGTACAATTTCTATTTTTTACAGTTCGACTATTACCATTCACTTACATTGATGGATAATCGCTTAATCCTGAAAGATCTCAACTCGATCGATCATAGTTTTTTTACCTTACTATTCTTACGATGTATTCAATCTGGCATACACATATATAGAAACTAAGAAGAAATAGAAAAATAAAAAGAACTGTATAAAATATTATGATTGAATATGCTGTATGGATAAGTAACAGTTTGAATTCCCTATTACAATCAGGTGGGCAATCGTATTCAGAAATCTATTCTGTTAGCGAACACTAATTCGGCCACTTATGAATCATTCCAGTAACTTATTAGTCAATTAATCCGATATGATAAAAATCCAATCTCTTTAAATTGAGACAAGTTATTGAAAGCTATAAAATCAACGTCTGTTTAAGTTAACTAGTTAAAGAATGGGACACAAAAACTCACAAAATAATAATAATAATAATGTATCAGTTCAGGTTGTCTCGGGAGGCAAAATCCGACACACACGTCCTCGTCATGCCTCCTGGATCATGACACTTATCCTATGTACTAACGTGAGCGGTAATACGAGTGGTGGATATCAGTCTAATCAACCAATCTACCTATACCCACAAACGATTACGAATGCTACAAATAGTCATTGCATAACTATTGAGAGTTCAAAAAGATGATACAAATGAGTCTGCCCAAAAAAAATAAATGAAAGTATTATGTAATGATTCTGCATAAGCAGTGCAAAAACAACTATTGCGCCGGGCTTCGATGTAGAACTCTTCTCAAGAAGGGCCTACTAAGCTTCAAGTTGTCTCGCGTTGTAGCGGAGCAATGTTTTTAAAAATTGTTACTTGACTATGTTGTTTTGTAAAATAATTCTAAAACATTAATATAATTCCATCTTTCCAATCGATTTACTATCATATTATCTTGACTTGACCACAATAAGGATATTCACTATCTAATCTTTATTTTATCTGTATACTACACATCACTACTTCTTACAATATGGGATTTGAATCGACAACTTCATCTCCGTGCTAATGTGGTATGGCAACTCGAA